CATAGAAAATACCATTTTGCCGCTATTGGCACACACAGACACTCTTGCCGCTATTGTCACCGATTCGGTAATATATATATATATATATATATATATATATATATATATATATATATATATATATATATAATATAATTAATATATTGTAAGCCACATTAAGGATTATCCTAGGACTTAAATATTTAGGCAATAATTTTATCTTTATCTGCTATGAAGTCGATATGATTACATCACGATTTCAAATTAATTGAATTGTGAATAACAGAAAGTTACTTTTCAATTCACTCATAATTTTTCCATTGAAGCTGGGATTCAAATTCCTCAAGAAACGGTGTTCGTCAGCCTTGGAAGTAACGTTATTACTAAGGCTATTTGGAACCAAACTAATTTTCGGGGATTGGCTACATGGATGCGATGCATTAACAATTTCTTTAAAAACATAGACACAAGAGGCACAAAATATCATGAATGCACCTGCCACGGGAATCCAGATATATTTCAACTGACCATAAATGACATAGAATCTTCAGTTGAGGGTGTATACAGATTGGAACTTAAGGTAGGATTCTTCTCATATTTCTAATATTTAAAAATTAATGAAATTTTTACAGAATCAAGAAGACAATACCAGTAAGTGATAGTATCAGTGAAATTAAATTTGACCGTTTTATATTAGAGGCAAGGTCAGGTCAAGGTCATTATCTTTTTCCTTGACATTAAGAATAAAAAATAACTGTTGCCGATCATGTGATACCTACTTCTATTTCGAAAGTTTAATGATTGTTCTTTTTGCATAAAAAAATATTACTATATCGGGTCTATAGCATGATATTAACAAATTTACACAAATGATATAACTTAACTGGATATTGGCTAATACGAATTTTCTCTGTTTTTCTTAATTTTTTAGGATATATTAGTTATTTTCATATGCTTCCTATATTTAACTTTTTCTTATTTTCACATATAATAAAGTAGTCTTATAAATGTACAAAATGATACAAAAACAAAAAGTTTTGATCGTTTACTAAGAGAGAAAAAATACTTTTTATGGATTTTTGGCTCAAATCTGCGCTTTGATGGGAAGCGTTTAAAAGCTAATAAAGTTCTAGTTTGTTTGAAAAATCATATTTACTTGATATATTTTGAAAGTTTAGTCCCTCATTATTAATCTAACTTACATTTGAAAAATTCTCCAAGACTTCGATTGAGTATAAATTATTACTAAATTCATTGTTCTATTATAATTTTGAGTGGCAGAAAAGAAGATATTTTCATACGCCACCAATCCGCCAAAAATATAGTCCCTGCTATTTTTCAAACGCAATTTACCATTTCTATTTAAAATTGTACAATTGTGATGAGGAAAGAAAAATATGATCTTTTAAATTACTTACATCTCAATATATAAGACATATAAGCAAATATACTTTGAATGTTTCATCTAGTCAAAAACCAGAGAAGAATCCTACCTTAAGCTTCCAAACAGTGCACTGGAAAGCAAAAATATAACTGTTTATGTTTTAAATGGTACCAAGATTATCAAATAAGTGAAATTAAACCCTAAAGAAAAAACCATGAAAGCAAAAAAAATTATTTTTTTTAATTTTTCAGACATTAATGCAATTGGGAAGGACGAACTTAACTTCTTGCGCTATAAAGAATGTGACAACATTGCAAAAGAAGCTCTTCGGATTACGTTTGAAAGATATCTTCATCAAAGCGGCACTGACCTTGCAACTCATCTTGCAGGATATCAAAACCATTTAATATCCATAAAAAAGCTAAATCCTTATCAGATCGAAATTCTTTATCCAAGTAAGTGAATGCTCTAAATTGCTTGTTTGTGAAATGACTCTTATTACTGTCATATGTATTTCAAAGGGGAAGTAAATTTAACTTAGGTGATGGGTCACTTGTCTCCACAAGGACGTTTGATGTTTCAATTCTTTACACATTATTGCGAAACACCACAAGTATTAAAAAACCAAAAAACAACTGGAATCATGAACCACCTTTGGAAAGCATCGACAAAGCGGATGACGTTGAAAGAATTCATCTGTTTAGAAATTTGGTTGCTCATTGTACAAATAAAAAACTTTCCGATGACGAATTCGAGGAAAAATGGTTCGATTTGTCAACGGTAAAATATTTGATATATTTTACTAAAAAAAATTTAATGAAAATAATGGTAATTGAATAAAAAAATTATTAATAAAAAATATTTATATACACTTCAGGCAATCGATAGACTTAGTAAGGGAAAATTAAGGAAGCCATTATGCCAATTAAGAAACAAAAGGTTCGAGCAACAAAAAGTCAGCAAGGAAAAATTGTATAGAAGACAAAATTTCACGGGTAATATTAGTTTATGTGTTGTTGTTTTTATTTTTGTCTATTTTTATCTTGAAATTATTGCATGAATGTTTTGATTGTAACAGATAGAAATGGCGTAAGCTGTATATTTTAAAGTGTTAATTTTACAGTTTAAAGTGTAAATTTTCTGTTTATTACATTTAAAAAAAAAAAATCTTTGATTTTTCCTTTGCCTCTGTCTTTTTATAATACAGTCATAGGCTCATGACGTCATAGCTTAGCGGTTAAGACTTTATAGCTATGTGAGGTTAAAACACTTTAAACATGGATTTAGCAACATATTTTTGGTAATTTTGACCGTTTTATTCGCTGTCAGAATGGTTTATTTATTTCCGTCTATCTTATATTAGGTCAAGGAAGATTTTTTACAGCAATCTTCGTTATGGTAAGGGAATTCGAGAGTTTTCCCGCACTTCTGATATTCGTTACACTGTGACAGGATATCATTTTGATATCCTTTCACACTGTGACAGAATATCATTTTGATATCCTTTCACACTGTGACAGGATATCATTTTTACTCAATGAGTACATTACAGTATTTCACGGGTAAAAATGTACTAAACTGATTTACTATTGGGAAAAGGTTTATGCTATAGTATAATCACTTAATTATAGTAAATTATAATTAACCGTACTATTTTATGTTAGAGTATTATTATCGTGGATGGATCTTTTTAATCTGCTACAACATCTCCAGTGTAATGGATTGATAATGAAATAAACGCTGAGGAGAACATAACATGCATCACAATATTTTAATATGTATTCCTTTATTTGGCTTTATTTTAGACCCATACACAGAAATCATATCGAAATGGCAGTTGCAGGATAAATTATTCTGCAAGGAGCTACGGTTGGTTGAAAAAAAAGTTTGATGTAATTAAAGACAAGAAACTGATAATTATTATCGGTGGCAGTGGGTCTGGTAAAACAGCTACAGCAAGACACTATGGCTTAAGGCTCCAGATAGAAGGATGGAAATTGATACCTATCGATCATGATATAAGGGAAAATAGAAGCTACCCTTTTACAGAAAAGTGTGTATTCATTTTTGATGACCCCCTTGGAAATTTGGGTCTTGATGACAGAAAAATGACAGATTTAGAGATATATCGCAGCACTGTGTTACAGATCTTTGGTCAAGAAAATCACAAACTAGTCTTAACATGTCGTAAAATTGTATACAATGAAGCGAAACCTTATCATGTTTTTGACAATTATAGTGTAGTTGACATCGAAGACAAAGATCATGCTTTAAACAATACTGAGAAGCAAAAACTTTTACAAATATACGGCATCGAGAAATTAGTTGAAGAGTCATCATTAGAAAGATCAAATTTAATGTTTCCTCTTAACTGCTATATATTGTTTCAAAACAGAGATGAGTTGTTAAAATCTGGAGCGCCCAAAAAAGTTCTAGATCATCGGGGATACCTTCTAAACGAGTTGGATACTATGAGTAAATCAGAGAGAACAAAAGTACTGTATGCGTCCTTGGTTTTTCTCATGATAGCTAACAATAATTTTACAGATGAAAAGCTAAAAAATAAGGAAATCTTAAATGAGATTTTTATTAAATGCAATATCTATGATCATCTACCACACAGCAGAGAGATTCGAGAGAAACTGCAATTTTCGGAAAATGCTTACGTCATCAAAACAGATTTTGGTTTCAAATTTCTACATGATTCTCTTTTTGAAATCTTTGCATTTCATTTTGGTCAAGATGAAGACAATCAAAGTCTGCTTTTAAAGCATATTGACATAGAATATTTAGCAAATAACACATATATGGGAGGCCTGGAGGAGGAATCTTCTGAAAGAGACTTCCAGATAAGGATCTTCCCAAATAATTACAAAATACTGTGTAATAGATTGTTTCACGCTCTTCAGGGGATTATTCAATTTGAACTGGATGTTCGTTCTGTTAATCCCATTCTCACTCACAAATGCTGGAGCAATGAAGAATTTATTCGCATTTTGTTAAAAACTGTCGGTAAAAAAAACATTGTAGATTTGTTCTTTAAACCATACCGTGTTTCAAAAGTCAAACCAAAATCAAGAGCTCCAGGGAAACGTAGCTCATGGCTTCATATACAGGGATTACTAGAAAATGAAAATTATGGCCAGACAGGAATACCAGGGGTGCCAGATGATGGGGAAACCAGACTTATAGAATGGATTGTTTTTAAAGGACATTTAGAGTTTATACAAAGTGTTCTTACACGTCAGGGGATATTAAGTTTGTTTCTGTTTAAAAGGAAAATAGATCCTGATCGGTTGTTTTGGCTTTCTATCTACAGTATGAACAAGGATATGTTTAATTTTGCTCTTTCTGAAATGAACCATAATCAAATAGAAAAACATATAAATGCATTATCGTTTTATTTGGAAACGCCCCTTACTCTTGCCTGTTCATTAGGTGTATTTGAAATAGTGAAGATTCTAGTAGAAAAAGGTGCCAATATAGAAAAGTGTAACATAAAAAATGAATCCCCTTTATTTCTTGCTATTAAGAGTGGTTCAGAGGAAATTGTTCATTTTTTGTTAGAAAAGAATCCATTGATTAGAGTGGAACATGAAATGATATCTCCATTTGAAACTGCAATGGAAAGAAATGTATATATTTTCAAATCAGTATTGCAAAAATGCGATGTCAAGAGTACAAATCATGATGGCAAAACACCTTTGCATCTTGCAGCAGAAAAGGGATTTAGTGATGTCGTTGAAAATTTGATTGATCGTCGAGCAAATGTAAACGCTGCAGATGACAACCAAGAAACGCCTACACACATTGCATGCTCTAAAAATAATAAAGAAATCGTACGTTTGCTTTTGCAAGCTGGTGCTCATCTCGATGCGTTAAATGCAAGAAAAGAAACACCCTTAGACATTGCTTTGAACACGGATTTGGGTGATGTTTTGCAAACTATTTGCATTGAACGTACCCTTGAGCATTTCAAAGTACTGCTTGAACAAACTCATTATGTGAAGAAATGGTCAAACCATACCATGGAAGTAGATCCTTCGTTTGGTGTTGCTAAAAATATTATAGATACAATACTTAAAAAGATTCTAAGAAATTGTTCTGTTGAAAATCTGAAATTGATTTTGGAAAAGAGTGAGATTGATGGAACTATTGTTGATGGCAAATCGCCTTTGCATATCGCTGTAGAAAATGATTTTTATGATTTTGTTGACACTTTGGTTCATCGTGGTGCCAGTGCAAATGCAAGGGACGATAGCAGTAATACACCTTTGCATATTGCATGCTATAGAGGTAATACAAGTATCGCAAAATTGTTGGTGAAAGGAGGAGCTAATTTAGATGTGTTAAATCTTCGTAATGAGTCTCCCATTTCTGTAGCTATCAACAATGGGTCTGAGGAACTTTTACAATATTTCTTATTAATATGTCCTCTTCAAAAATTCAAGGACCTATTGGAATTGTGTGTCAGCAATGACAGTATAAGTTCTGATGATTCTCGCCCGGATGTCAAGAATTCTGAAATTTCCGATAAGTTTCCAGCTTCAGCTGGTATTGCTGCTAAGCAAGGCAAAATGCTGCAAAGTCTCTTACAAACTTGTCCTGTTGAAAATTTCGCGATTTTGGAAGAATACGGTCAATCCTCCTTCCAGTCCGACGATGGAAAAACACCTGTACATATTGCAACACACCTGGGTTGTGTGGATATGGTTAAAAGTTTAATTGATTGTGGTGTTAACATTAATGTTACTGACAACAGAAATCAAACACCTTTGCATATTGCTTGTGCATTAGATGATAGCAAAGCCGTTCAGCTAGTTGAAACCTTTATCCAGAATGGTGCCAACATTAATGCAACAGACAGCAAAAATTAAACACCTTTGCATATTGCTTGTGCATTAGATGATAGCAAAGCTGTTCAGCTAGTTGAAACCTTGATGCGGAGTGATGCCAACATAAATGCAACAGACAATAAAAGCCAGACGCCTTTACATATTGCGTGCTTAAAGAACATTACAAAAACTGCTGAAACATTAATTTCCAAATTATGTAACACATCGGTTGAAGATGAAGAGAAAAGGCTTCCATTTCATATAGTATGCGAAAAAGGAAATTCAGAGCTGGTGAAACTTTTATATAAACCAGGGCATCTCGACCAGACGGATAAATTTGGAAAAACACCAAGGTGTTACGCAGAAAAACACACAAAGATTCATAAACTCTTTAATAGGAGGGAAGAATTTTGTGATCAGTACTAAAAAAAATGTGACTCGTTGATTTTTTTTTCTTAATAGAAATGGTACATATATGAAACTATGTTGAGGTCTCCTTCATCAAATATGAATTAAGGATAGATCTTAGTTGAATTGATTTAAACAATATTTATTCAGAATACTGAATATTTGTGTAAAAGGCATACAATTTCATAGGCGGATCCAGGAATTTGTAAAAGGGGGGTCCAACATTTTGACCTATTATAGGTACTGTTTGCAACATCTACCGCTCCCTATTTTCACCCCACTTTGTGTACATGTAAATGATCTAAAGAAAATGTCTAATTCATGGCTTGAGAATTGAGAAGAAAAGCCCCCCCCCCCCCTTTTTTTGCGTTTAAACTCAGCCGGAGCATTAGTCCGAAAAATCTGACGTTTTCTGGCTTTTTTACGATTTTGATATTTTACATGCCAGGAAAACGTCAGAACCGGCGCCATTACGAAAACTGGGAAATCGCCGCCTCCAACCGGAGGCGGCATTCAGAGCTTGATTTTCGATACTTGTAAACCGAAATAAATGCTGAATTCATATATTATCAATAGTACAAAACCTTTAGTACTCACCAACATCGTTTTTATGTTTCGTTTATGAAATAATGTAATCCGATGAACACATTTTATCTTACTGTCGAGATTTGTTTTCATTTCGTGCATTTTAAAATCGTGCAAGTTCTGAATCGGAATGTGGAGTTGTAATTTTTATTCATCGCTATTGGTGAGTTCTAGTAGCATTGTGCCATTGATAAATTGTGATTTCGGCATCTAATTCGGTTCCCAAGTATAGAAAATCAACTTCGGTTGAAGACGGTGAAATTCCCAGTTTTCGTAATGGCGCCGATTCTGACGTTTTCCTGGCATGTAAAATATCAAAATCGTAAAAAGCCAGAAAAACGTCAGATTTTTCGGACTACCGGAGCATAAAGTTTGTACTATATAGCTGCGCTCGCTACAACGGTCACACCGTCAATATATTACTGTACAGTGGCATGCCAAAAGTAAATTTAATTTTATTTTTTCTCTATATATTTCATTGAAAACAACATTTTGTAAAATCATAGGGAAATGGTCAATTTTTGTCCAATTTAATTATTTATTTCAGTACTTAAACCGGAAAATGTGTAGTAATCTTTCTTTAATATGTAGTAAAATATAGTTCATCACTAAACATCAGTTCTAAAATTCAAGATCAATGTTGACTTTATTCATTGTGAGTATATGACTTAAAAATTCATGTCACACTTAAATTACAATATTTTTAAATTATCAATGCTTATCAGATAAAAACTATTTTTTTTAAACTACAACAATTTCTTAGATTATCAAGAAATTTTTGATAAAATCTGTCAAGAAATGTTGTCATATTAGCGATTTTACAAAATATTGTTTTCAATGAAATATATCATGAAAAAATAAAATTATCTTCACTTTTGGCACACAACTGTATATGTTAGCCAATGTTCATGATACATTGTAACAAACAGCCTTCCACATGTATTTGTAAACATTACATGTGAAACGACCTTTTTCAAAATCGTCGTGTATGACTCAGCCTAAGAATCAAACATTTGCCTAGTAGCTTAGTTCAATATAAACAACTCTTCATAAAAAAGTAAAAGCTTAATACCATAATATTTATGAATTATGGACAGTTTAATCTTCATGCATTACTGGAAGCAGCTTCAGAGTTATTGTAAACAAAACTGTATGTATACATGTACAGCGCTGATGTTTCGGGCGAAATCTCTACAACTTTCTATATCTTTTCTTTCTTTCCTTTTTCTCTTGATTTATATTTCTAATTTTTTTTATGGGGTATTGTATACATTTTTTTTGGTCCTCGAAAAAGGGGGGGTCCGGACCCCCTGGACCCCCCCTCTGGATCCGCCCTTGAATTTCTTTAAGTACCTTTTTTGAAATGAAATTACATCAAACAAACGTTGATAGTTATGAGCTAGTCTATAAAAAGTAATTTTTCAATCCTCTTCAGAATGTTCTTTTTAATTTGTTATTTAATATGTGTTTTGTTTAATTGAAGAGCATATCAAACATACATTGGACTTTTACGAGAAGCGCTGACTTTTACTGTTGACGAATTATTCTCACACAAGGACAGGGTACGGAAGCTCTCTTACGATATAAATATTTAGCTCAACATTTAATTCAACAAAAGAACAGGCTATTTCAAAGCATGGAAAAGTTGTCCTTGAGGAAATTGACAACCATCCTACCCTTCAATCCAGACCTACACATATAAGTGCCCCTAAAACCATTACTATGACCACTAGAAAGGTTTTCTTATCCTTTATCAATTCTGTACTTGATACAGGGTTAAATATCCAAGTAAACAGTCAACTGTAAATGTCAGTGCTTCTCGTAAAAGTCCATTAGGAAATCGTCCATCCGTATTTGTCATATACTAGTATACATGTACATGTAATAAAAAATATGCAAACAATTGTGAACATCTCTTTTTTTTTTCCAAGTGTCGTGGGTAAAACATCACGAATCGACCGTTTGATTATGTACTATAAACGTATTACATTTGGCTGTTTATTCCTTTAATTTTTGCGGTTTTGGCGGAAAGAAACATCACTTAATTCAAGTACAACGCTAAATGTCTTGCGCATGTATTCATAAATTACAACATTTAGAAATGCGCTAAATCAAATCTACGCTAACTTGTTTAAGAATCAATTTCCGAGGAATATCGTACACGCTAAATATAATACATTTACAGTAACAGATTACAATTCAAGTTGTTCAGAATAAAGTGTAAAATTTACAGATTAATGTGTAAATTTTACAGATGAAAGTGTAAATTTTACAAATGAAAGTGTAAAATTAACAGTTTAAAGTGTAAATTTTACAGTTTAAAGTGTAAATTTTACAGATTAAAGGGTAACTTTTACACTTTAAAGTGTAAAAATTACTGATAAGAGTGTAAATTTTACAGATTAAAGTGTACAATTTACAGATTAAAGTGTAAATTTTACAGCTTAAAGTGTACAATTTACAGATTAAAGTGTAAATTTTACAGATTAAGGTATAAAATTTACAGATAAAAGTGTAAAATTCAATTAGATTAAAGTGTAGAAATAGAAGAAAAAAAATAAAGAGTCCAAGTGGCACTAATACGTTTCCGTAGTTTTTATTTAATTCATAAAAATAGTTACTGCATATTCATAACGATAGTATTAAATTTGGCAGATATGTACGAGGGGTGATCAAAAAGTTCGCGAACTATCTCTATATTTACAAAACCACAATTCCGGTCAGAATAAAATTTGGCACACATAGAGTCATACACACGTTGTATAAATAGCATATGTAAAGGAACGTACGTTTTGCCCGGTGTTTGTGACGTAACAATGTGAAAATGACGTCATAAGGTAGATTACTTGTGACAAAAAAAATGGTTGGCTCAGACTTAGAAACAAACGGTTGTAAAGTTAAACGTATATCTTGGAAATTCCTTTGCAGAAGTTTTTAATAATTTTTACACGGTTTATGAAGATAAAAGACTTGCCAGAAGTTTAATTGTCATTAATTGGTTTGATTGTTTAAGGACAGATGATACAAACAAATTTTTTCTTTGAAAAAGATTAAATATTATGTCTCAAGTTTAGAAAAGTCGATGGTTCTTAGAATTTTTTCTCCGAAGAACTGGAATATGAAAAAGACTTGGAAAATATTAGTAATATTTCTATGAAAAAACAAATATAGACAAATCACATTCAGTAAAGGTTTACAGGTGAAAATAAATTTCAGAATATGTTATCTTTGCACTAAAAGTGTAATATAAACTTAAGAAAAATATACCGAGCCAGGTGAATTTTATTAGGAAAAGCTAAATGGTAAAAATCAGCCTATGTGATATTGCAAATTTTTTGTCATTTCGATCTTCCTCTTAAAATTCACCTGGATTGGACGCGCAGGGGCAGACTGGTTAATTGCAGATGCGCATTAAGACCGGAGAGGACTACCGTACTTTGAAAAATCTTCAACATTGAAACCATATATCATTTCTTTTTTGAAATGTTTTTGATTAGTTCGTGAACTTTTTGATCGTATGCCAGCATTTTTGGACATTTTTTCTGTTGTTTGGTGTTATATTGTACTTGTCTGTTTGAAATGTTTGATGATCTTTTAATCTTTGAATATGTTTTAGAATTTGATTCAGGTTGTAATTTATCTTTCAAACAACAATGTAGCAAAAACCACAGCATTGCAATCATTTAGTATCATGCAAAAACACAAGACCTAAGACCTGTGGAGATTTAAACATTGAAATATAGACATCAGTGAGTGCATTTGACTAAATAAGATGACAGGTTATACTGTAATAAGCATTAATTATTTAAACAAATATAAATTACCGGTTATATAGACAATACATTGTATGTTAAAATGTCTTTCTTTGGTTGTTAGCACGGGAATAAATGCTTACGCAGGTTATGTATATTTTTCCGCAACAGCTGCAACATTCATTCCCGTACTAACAACCAAAAAAAAAGCATTCTATTTTTTTTATCTAATTACCGAGCTCTATGATAAACGTGATGACTTTAACTTTTCTATCGTCAACTTCCCTTGCTTATGCA